TTAAGAACTCAGGATTAAGATCATCCTATATATGACCATCGGTAGACTCAATTAGAATTTCTATACTTAACGGAATTATTAGAAATTCATATTGTGTCTGTGTCCTTGTTCCACATAATCTCATTATGCGAAATACACTCATTCAATATCTCACCATATTAACAGTGCAGATAACACTGTTCCACTCTAAATGGGAATGACATGTATTAATAATGTTTTAATTAAAGATTCTGAACTTTAATTAAATTCATTATGAACATTGTTTTTTTATTATTATCCTTAAACATTATCCTCTCGTATATAACACTTATATACAATGTTTAAGGTTACATAAATAACCATGGAATTTTTATTGATATTCTTAAAATATTCATAAATATATGCACATAAAATAATGAATAAACTCTTTTATTAAATAAATAATAAATATCCTATTACATCTTATGCTTCTAGGACACCATTCCCAACAGTTGTCCTGTCACCAGTGTGGCCAGAGGACTGCGACCGGTTGTCCATAGTGCTGGCGGCGGCAGATGCGGCCGCCAGCCATGAAGAAGTTTTTCTTTTTGGTTCTTTTTCCTTATGCAGCGGGGCAGTTGGTCCTCATCCTACCACAGCCACAGGCCCCGGCTAGCCCATCAGTGCAGCCCAATGGCCGCACCCTTGTTTCCTCAGCGTCGGCGACGAAGGCTGCCGCCAGCCACAATCTTCAATCCGAAGAAGAGAAGAAGAAAGATGGAAAAAAAAATTTCCAAAAGCAAACAAAAAAAAATTCTTTAATTAATTCTTTTACCAAATTTCTTTAATTCCTAATTTTCCAGAAAATCAATTTTGTGAATAACAATTAATCCGAAATTATTCAACAAATTTGATTAAAATCAATCACTAAGAATTCATATGATTATTAATATACATGCTTTTCTAAACAAAATAAAGCATATCTAAAATTCCATAGACAAAAGAAAAACTATATAAGTCAATCCACATAATATTCAACCGGATATATTGGAGATGAAAATTATCTCATTAATTTAATGTGATGACCGCTCTAATACCACTTGTTGGACTTTAATCCTTATTCCACATTTCAGGAATCATCACACTAATTACTAAGAAAATAGGTTAGAACAAATACATGTCTCCATTGGTGCAGCCTTAATCTCCAGTAGAAATCTCTAAGACAACGAGCACGCATTGTCTTCCTCAGTCAAATCATCATATTCTTGAATGGGTGTTCTCTCTCTAGATGGGGAAGAGAAAAAACGGCCGAATGATTTGGCGTATTAGGGACCATAACCTAAGTTTCTTTATTTACTGTCCTATTAGGCTCTCATTAAACCTAATTGGGTATCCACCTATTTAGTCCATACCCTGTTAAGAAACTATTTAGGCTCTCCATAATTAGACCACTTAATTAGCCCAATTAATTAAATAGCGTCAATATAGTTGTTATAAATATATGGTCTACAATTATTATTAGGAAACGTAATTTCCTAACAGTTCCTCCCCACCCCCTTAAAATTTAGAAATTATATGTCCGCCCTCCCTTTGAAATCTAAAGACTGAACTTATATGTCTACCCCTCCTCACTTATTTTTCTGGCTCAAGGCAGGTAATATTATGCTTGGTTGCAGCCTTGCAGTCCCCAAGTGTCATATTTCGGTTGACTAGTTCGTCAA